CATATGATATATATATATATATATATATATATATATATATGACAAATAACGGTTTTGTTTCATTTTGCATGAAAACTTCATTCATTCCTCAAAACTATTCACAATAGTACAATTCTATACTGTATAATATTATACTACGGTGAACTGTCGGACTTAAAATCCACTCAATGTTGTAGAAGTTACGGTTTAATTTTATTTTCAGCTCAAAATTCTCATAAAAATCTTTTTCATCTCAACTTGTTTTGTTAAGGAAATGAAGTATAATTCGAAATAACAGCCAAAACTATAGTCAAAACCCTTGTGTGAAAGCAGTATTAATTGTATGTACTTTGCATGACATCAACTAACGAATTAAAACTACAATAGTAAATTAATGATATTATTAAGTTGTGCTGGTTTAAAAGTTAAGAAAATCGAAACACCACCGTCAATGGTGCCTGGAACACAGATACGAGCAACGATTTAGTTTTCTATGAGGAACATGCTCTGGACGACTTTTGATTTCAATGAAGGTGGCATGATCTTTTAGATTATGTGATGTATCATCTATGGACCATTTATTGCTCTATGCGAAAAGCAACAACAACCACTGCATGGGAAACAAACATCCAATGCGCTAATCTTGAGATATAACCTTAATTAATTGTCTATCGCAAAAAGAAATGTTTCACTCAATTAAGGCAAAGAAATTAAAACATTTTCTAACGTTATACTGTCGAAGAGATTGTCAGTATGTTAGTGCAATTCAAGTTCGGCCCTATATCCAATTTAAGTGAAATTATAATTAAGAGATTACAAAAATCAAAATCTTTGAAATTTCATCGGGACCAACAAATATATCTTAACAAAGATACTAAAATAATATACATCCATCTCTTTCTAATAAAAGTTGTGACAAATTGTTTCTGTTTTATCAGGTTAATATTTATTGATATTCGTCTACTTAGGACTAGCAATTGACGAGCCTGACAAAGAAATCTAGCTGTAATCTGCAAGACGTTATCTATCTGTTTCATTTTGCAGCAGGTTGAGTTGATGTAATCTGAAGATATCGTTTATCTATTTAATTGCAAAATAGCATGTAACGGCTTGATTTGTTGTAATTTGCAACACGTCATCTATCAATTAAATTTCACAACAGCACGTAACAATTGATTTGTGGGTTCAACCCTTTTCACTCCTATTTCGCTGTAATGAGTCCGTACCCCTTCTTCAGCCCTCATTTTCATAAAATTTCTTTATTTTTTACTTGTACCTTACTGTACCTTACTACTTAAAAATGATATACTAAAAGATGAAAACATTACGATTATCTTGAAACTAGTAATTTTATTATTATTTTACTAATATGTATGTCTTTTCGTCGTCAGTCATCTTTTGAGTCCGTACCCCTTCTTCAGCCATCATCTTTATAAAATTCTTTTATTTTTTACTTGCCAAGTTTCTTATAAAAACTGTACCTTACGACTTAAAAATGATATACTAAAAGATGAAAACATTACGATTATCTTGAAACTAGTAATTTTATTATTATTTTACTAATATGTATGTCTTTTCGTCGTCAGTCATCTTTTTGACTAACAGTACAGATTTAGTTTCATTTTAAACATTTTCATAATTTTCAATCCGTTTTGATTTATCTCTAAACATTTATTCTTGTTAAGTTTAAAACGTTATATTAGTCCTAGAAATATTTAAGTGATTCCGTTTTAGGTTAAAGTCAGATAACGTAATTACAAACGCACGAAGAGCTTTCTCATATCCAAATTCATATGCAATATTTTTCAAATACAATGGAGCGGATCACTCACTTCTTAAGTTTGCGCTATGCCAATAGAGTTCCCCTTTCTACCGGAAGAGTATAATAAAGACCTTGTAAACTTAATTAAATTCATTCGGTTTCAATTTGCCTGGTGTATTATTTTTTAAACACAAAAATGTATATAAATACTTTTTTGGAACCAATTTCATTACTGATACTTTAAAGCATTGTTCATAAAATAGAAAAAATATTATGGAATTATGCTCCTTTCAGAAGTTAAATCATGCTTAGAACTTCAAAACTTCAGTTAAAAAATGATTGATATCTCAAATATAGTTGACCTAATTTGCTTAAATCTTGAATGTTTTCAGACCATTAAACATTTCTTAATATGATGCCTAATACGTTTTTATTCTTAAATGGGGTTTCGGAATTAAGCAGATGGAAAGTTCCTCGAAAAGATTGAAGAAAACCTTTAGTTTTCTCAAAATATTCGTAAATTTTTAGTATAACAATATTTTATTATGTTCCAAATATTATTTGCAAAGGAATTTCCATCTATCATGCACCATTTATTGAAATGGACTCTAAAGTGAGCCAATTACTGCTCACTGTAACTTCATTGTCGACGAGAAGCTATAAACCTTTGCATTTTTACATAGATACCATTAATTAAGTTGTAATAATTTAATATTTTGAAGACCCGAAGACGCAGCTAGTTGCATCTATATATTATCTTTATAGTGATTCGATTGAACTGAAACTTTTCAAAACATTGTATTTTTTATATAATCATCAATTTTAATGAATAGAATAAAATTACAAAAACAATCGTTTCCAGTTCTCGACATGGCCACCTTAAGTGTGAAGTAAGTTCTACGCTAATCAAATGTGAATATGTGCAATTTATATCCATGCACGAAGAAGAACTTTCTTCACCTTATCAACACTTTAATAGAGGCCGCTTTTGAATGAAGTCTAGATTGTATCTATCAGTCATTTTTATTTATCGCGTACTTTGGTGGTCTATGACTCTATAACACTTTCCAAAAATATTTATGCACTGATTTTGACGTTATAGTGTAAAAACATCTATTTAGAGCGACCATTACCCGTTGCGAGCATCATCTTAACCTTTTTGGAACTTGTAAGGTGTGTTTTTGAGTATTCATTAATTACATGGTTGTTTTTGATGTATTTAGCTAAGTAGTTAGTAGTTATGTTCTACTGCTACCCGAATTTCGTTCAATACGATCCTTAACTTCTTTCCGATCACCTTCACAGCGTTTTGAGAAGCTGTCACTTTTGTGAAAACATTTTATCAATCAACATAAAAAAGATTGATTCACATTGAGGTGTTCGAGGGTTCTAACAATATACACTTGGAGTTCTCCATTCAAATATTCGTAAAATATTAATCCATTTTCATCACAGATAATGTTTTCTCCAATAAACTGAGACGCAAATGCTTTCGTCCAGTTGTAAAGAATAAAATCACTGTCATTAGATGAAATGTGGAAGCAGTTGTCGACACCTTTTCAAAAGTTACAGCAGTTAGTAACATAGTTAGTTAGAGTTAAATTGGGCCACCTTGCAGATACGTTTTATATACATTTTTAATAGCTGATCTTTATATGTACGTCTAAGAATGGAATAATATCATGTTTCATGACTTATTAGGTGCTCACGCCTTTTTGTAAGATTATGTATTTGATTTTACTAATTTGGAGCTTTGGAGCTTCATAAAACGGTTTTATTCAAATTTTTGACTTAGTTCGAAACAGATTAAAATGACAAAATAAAAAGATATTATATTTAAGTATAATGTCTTTTTTGTTTAAAAAAACTGAAATTTTACAAAGGGAGAGTAATAATTTTAAACAAAATAACAAATATATATTTAATTGCATTTATTTTTATTTTTTCTTATTTTAATATGCCATCAATTAACATTGTTAACAGATAGTGATGACGTGATTATTAGTCTGCATGATTGTTTCTTTCGTCATAAGTCAGCCAGAATGGCGACGTAAGTATGTATAAGTTTAAATGCTCAACACAGCGTCAAAGCCCCATTCCACGAAAGTACAAGTATAAGCAGTAAGCAGTAAGCAGCACTACTAAACAAGCAACAAATATATAAATAATTGCTTGAAAATGACCGGCTTTTCTGTAGACACACAGTATACAGTATACGGTATAGAGTATAGCAGTATATCAGTGTACAATTACATTCATGAGTGATATACATATTTGTCTGCAACACAGCCAGATCGGCTGTGTACACTCTCATAGGCAAACTGAAATGCAACACAAGCTTCCAAATAAGGGTGCACATGTTAAGTGAGGAAGCTATATCTATGGTTAGGAGCAACGCAAATAATTTGCGATTACACTTTTGACACAATTTTAAGTCAAATAATAGAACTTCGATAGATCGAACGTGTGATTCCGATAATGTTGCCCTTAAAATAGAGAAAACTCAACATATGGTGTATTAACATTAGGCCGTGTTTTTCACATCTCCGTATCGGCACTAAAATAAGCACTGAATTGTGTAACTAATAACAATGTGTTGCTCTTAGACAATTCAGATTCAGATAGAATTAAAATGACTTGCATAACATCGACGTGAATTTAGTTACTGGGACAGTCGAGATACATTAAAAACAATTTCTTGATTTTTTATAAGTAGAATTTTTTAATGATTCCTCCAACTACTAAGTACGGTTCACAATTAACCCATTTAAGCAATATTCAATTTCTATAAACCGCGATGAGCTGTTGACTTGTTGACTTGTTGAAAATATATACTCGTACGGCGATAACTTGAAAAAGTTTCGGTTTGTTGTTATTTT